CATGGTGTGTGTGTCCATGGTGTGTTGTGAGTCTACGCCTCAGGGACAAGAAGGCTGAGGGGCTTGAGATTTTTGGCTGCTGGGGTCACCTTTCTAGGAGCTTTTGGGGGCAGGGACTGACCCTAATTTATCTTTGTGATCCGAGATCCCCAAAGGCCTGGCTTATCCTAGCCCTCAGGTACCCAGGGAATGGTGTATGGGTATCAGGAGAAGTCTGTCCCTTTATAAGATGGGAGTCTTGCCAACAGAGGGGCTCTCTTTTGGCCTCAGGTCCTGAGTGGGGGCTGAGGATGGACCTGAAAGGTACTTCATGGATAAGCCACTAAGCCAGAGGGAGGAAAGGGCAGGTGCAGGTGGCCGGCAGCAGAGGAAGAGGGCTTATCATGGCCTGTGCCTCTGGTTTCAGCCTTAGGACAGCGCCCCTCAACCTTCACACGACAGACTCAGTTAGTCCTGGCAGAGGTCTGCTAGCTCCATTTACTGACAAGAAAACCAGACAGGTTAAGAGACTCTAATAGGTCACACAGCCAGTAAGGGCTGGGGTTGAGGTTCCAATCCAGCCACCTAATTAAGTCTCCCCGCCCGGTTTCCCTCAGCCCCACCTCCAGCACCCCCAGGCCTCTCTGCCTCTGCCGACTTTCCTCCCATTAGCCCATCTCTCTCTGTCTCCTGTCTTTCCTGCCTCTCTCGCAGGCCCAGCCTGAGACTTTCCCACTGAGTCAAGATCCGGGTCTCGGACTTTGTGGTCCTGTCCCTCTCTGGCTCTAGATCTTTCTTTCAGAACTGTACCCAAAGCCTTTCACTTTGCTCTCTCTTTCTTTTCATGCCTCCTACCCAACTCGCTGCCCCCTCTCTTTTACTGTCTACCCTCTCACAGCCTCTAAGACTCTGCCCAGTAGGGTGGAGGGCAGGAATCCTGGGTCCTGGTGCTGTGCCATGCTGCATGGACAGTTCCAGTAATAGCCACGCATCCCCAGCTGCTCCACCAAGCCCATCCAAGAGTCCTCCAGGTCCCTGGGGACCCAGGTGGCTGGTAGACTAGGGTGTGGAATCATCTGGTCCTAGAGGTTTTTTTCTTTTTTTGAGATGGAGGTTTGCTCTTGTTGCCCAGGCTGGAGTGCAATGGCCTGATTTTGGCTCACCGCAACCTCCGCCTCCCGGGTTCAATGGATTCTCTTGCCTCAGTCTCCTGAGTAGCTGGGATTACAGGCATGTGCCACCATGCCCAGCTAATTTTGTATTTTTAGTAGAGATGCGGTTTCTCCATGTTGGTCAGGCTGGTTTCAAATTCCCAACCTCAGGTGATCCGCCCTCTTCCGCCTCCCAAAGTGCTGGGATTACAGGCATGAGCCACTGTGCCTGGCCGGTCCTAGAGCTTTAATAAGGAAATCTCAATGCCTGCAGCTGCCCTCCTCAGGCATGAAACTGCCTCCACCACCCTCAGTGTGCACACCCAGCAAGCACAGGGCACATTGATTCGCAGGATGGGACTTGGAGCTGGGATAGCAAAGTGGGAGGGAGCCAGAGAGTGGGGTGCACAGACTCCCTGAAGTCTGATTTGTCACCTGGAGTCCTTAAACGTACAGACTCTAGAGACCCGCCACAGGCCTGGGCCTCAGAATCTCTAGAGGCGAGTCCCAGAAATCCACAGCGTCATAGCTTCCTGGCACAGTCTGCAGCCCATAGGTGAAGCAGCCTCCCTCTCGTGTGACCTCCGGGAGCCTCTCTCATTTTGAGTCTTGATGGGAAACAGTTTGAAAGGAAGCCCTGAATGCTTGCAGAGGAAGACAGGGCAGAGAGAACCAGTGTCCAGGCTGTGGGATTCAGGATGATTTCTTTTCCTTTTTTTTTGAGACAGAGTCTCCCTCTGTCACTCAGGCTGGAGTGCAGTGGTGCAATCTTGGCTCACTGCAACCTCCGCCTCACAAGGTCAAATGATTCTCCTGCCTCAGCCTCCCAAGTAGCTGGGATTACAGGGGCCAGTCACCAAAAAATTAGCCACCTGTCTAATTTTTTGTTTTGTTTATTTTTTAAGACAGAATCTTGCTCTGTCTCCCAGGCTGGAGTACAGTGGTGTGATCTTGGCTCGCTGCAACCTCTGCCTCCCGGGTTCAAGTGATTCTCCCGAGTAGCTGGGATTACAGGCACCCACCATGTCCAGCTAATTTTTGTGTTTTTAGTAGAGACAGAGTTTTGCCATGTTGGCCAGGTAGGTTTTGAACTCCTGACCTCGAGTGATTCCCCTCCTAAGCCTCCCAAAGTGCTGGGGTTACAGGTGTAAGCCACTGTGTCTGGCCTGTTTTCTAAACCTTTTCTAGTGTTAGTAAGATTTTCCCTCACTCTTGTGGGAAAAGCACTGGCCTGGTAGTCAAGAGACCTGGGTTCCAGTGTGTGAGTTTGGTGTCTTATTCCGTTTTCCATATTTACCATCCATCTGGTCTCTTAAAATGGGATGTTGGTTGGAGGCCATGTCTCTCTCATTCCTGGACACTTACCTTGTGTTTCTTCATGCTGTCCCACCAGGGCCAGCCTCATAAACACTTCCTGTGTTCATGGGATAGAGGGGCTGGGAGGGGCGGCCATGGGGAAGTGAGGGGATCCCAGGGGGCCTGGTCTCCTCGCTCCTCTTTTCCCACCTTTCCAGGCCCAGAGCTTGGGAGGAGGGTGAGGTGGCAGCTGGAGAAGAAGGTGTCACTGCAGGGCTCTTCTTCTCACCCAAGCTGGCAGAGGGGCGGGACTGGCAGCATGACACCAGGGCCACTCAGCCCCCGCTTTTCACAAGCACTTTCTTTTTTGGGTGGAAGAAATTGGAGAGAGAGGGTGAGAAATCTGGGGTTGAGGAGCCAGGCTGTAAGACCCTGTAACAGCCTGTCAGGTTCTAGAGAGACTGCCCCCAGCCTTCCTCTTCTTCCAGAGGTATGGCCCTAGGGCCACCTGATTCTGAGGTTCATAATCCCACCTACCCCAGAAAACTGGGTGGGAGCTCAGGTCATCCTTTTCAGAGGCAGGGGGATGGGTCACTTGACTTGAGGATTAGTGTGGAAAAGACTCCATTTGGTCTTCAACAGCCCAGCACTGAGCAAAAATGTCCCTCCAAAGAGGGGTCAGCATTCAACAGTCTCACACCTCCTAGGGAATCAGCCATTCAGGAGGGTCTTACTGAAAGCTCTCATGTTTCCCCAAAAGTAGTGAAGGGTCCCAAGGTCACCCTCTCTTCTAAGCAATGCTGCCCCACTTTGAACATCAGGCAGAAACTTTCCTCTTCCTTAAGGCACAGAGAAATGGCAGGCGATGTGTTGGGGAGGAGGCCAGTCCTGTGTTTCTGGTACTGTCATGTATCCGGTCTCCAACCTCAAGGGATGTGGTGATTCTGTCTCCCTCCACCCTCCCTGGATCATGCCCACCTCCTGGGGTCCCCAGCTTTGCCTTTGCCTGCCAACCTGCCTCTTGGTTCAGCTCTATTTGGGAGCAGAGAGTCCCCATGGGCCCCTAAGGGTGAAGCCCTGTCAGGCTGGGACAGAAATGTAGAGCTGGGGCCAGTTCCCAGGGGAGAACTGGGGAGGGCTGGGGTGAGGATAGGCAGAGGAGAAGTTCAACTTAAACATGATAAAAATGTTAAAGTACTTTTTCAAAATACTTTTAAAAACGTAAATCTTTATATACTGACATGCAAAATATTCCATGACACCTTGTGGAGTGAAAAAAAAAAGTGCACATTACAAAGCAGCATGTGTAGTGTTTATATCAATTACATATTTGTGCGTGTGTGCAAAAGACAGAGGCAGAGAGTATATGAGGAGTGCTGTCTGGGCGGGTGTTCACCATAATGGTAATCCTGTTTGCCTTTAGGGGGTGGAATTTGGGGTGATTTATACAGTCTTGTTTTTACTTTTCTGTGCTGCTTAAATTTCCTATATACGTATATTTCATCTTTATACACAGGAAAACTCCCAATGATGCTATTTTCAATTGGGGGGGGAAAGGAGAGTTTTCATCATAAAAGGAGTCTAATACATTAGTTCACAGAAAAGGAAAATGGAGAAAGAAAAACCTTCGTCCTCCCATCCCCGAGGCAGCCCTTCAGAGCATGTGGTGGGTTTCCTTCCTGTCAGCCGGCTCCGAATCTGTTCAAAGCAGCTTTTCCATCCAGGTATAATAATAGATTGGAAAGTGCTGCACACGCACACCCTCTCATGTAAGGCTCGCGGCCCCCCTGAAAAGTAGATCTGTTTATTTCCCCCAGTCTATGGATGAGGCACGTGAGGTTGACTGTCAGGCAAGGAAAGTGACTTGCCTGGGTCACAAAAACCTGATAGGCAGAGCCAGACCTGGGACTTTCAGCACTCAATGCTACTTCCAGTGCCCATGACTGCCATGCGGGGGGGAGGGGAGCTTTTGTGGGCCCCGCCAGGCCCCTGGCTGCGGCTGATACAGTGCGCTTTAAGGAATACTTCCTATTGTCCATCAGGTTCCAGGTTTGCCCCCAGGGCTAGAGGTACACCAACTCAGCACATGTGGACCTCTGGTGGGGAGAAAGAGGGACACCCAAAAGTCCACTTAGCACAGAGCCCGGGCACACAGTAGGTATCAATAAATATCGGTTGAATGTTCATGGTCAAAGTTGCTTCTAGTGTGCCAGCGCTCCGAGCCTCTGAGTGCTACGAGAAAGCCCAGCAAGTACCACCTGGGCCATCTCGGAAGGCTTCCTGTAGGAGAGAGCCTTTGAGCTGAGCCTTCAAAGCTGGGCTGAATTTCCTCGAGGGTCCAGGAGAGAGCCACGGGCTGGTGTGTCAGGCGGCGGAGTTGATGCTCCCAGAAAGCAAGGTCTTCGAACCACAGGGCGCGCGCTCGCGGGCACTCGCTGGTCGCCACCGTAGGGGGCCCTGCAATCCTCTCCAACCGCTTAGAATTTGCCTAGTCTTAGCCACGAGGGGGCGGGGTAGGGCGAGGCGGAGCAGGGCCGAGGTGGCGGGGTTGGAGGAGCCGGAGAGCTTCATAAAGCCACAGCAAAGCTCCGCGACTCTAGTGACAGCAGCCCGCTGGAGAGGAAGCCCAAGAGCTGCCGCGCGCCTGCCGGACGCCGGCGCAGAACCCAGGCTCCAGTGGGGTCCCCCACCTGGCCCTCGGGGCGCCCGCCCCCTGCCCATCCCAGCTCACGCGACCCTCTCACCTGCTTCCGTGCGGGGAGGGGCGGGTCCTCGACGGCTGCGGGAAGGTGCCAGCCCGCCCCGGATGGGCATCGTGGAGCCGGGCTGCGGAGACATGCTGACGGGCACCGAGCCGATGCCGGCGAGCGACGAGGGCCGGGCGCCAGGCGCCGACCCGCAGCACCGCTACTTCTACCCGGAGCCAGGCGCGCAGGACGCGGCAGAGCGTCGCGGGGGCGGCAGCCTGGGGTCGCCCTACCCGGGGGGCGCCTTGGTGCCCGCCCCGCCGAGCCGCTTCCTCGGAGCCTACGCCTACCCGCCGCGGCCCCAGGCGGCGGGCTTCCCCGGGGCGGGCGAGTCCTTCCCGCCGCCCGCGGGCGCCGAAGGCTACCCGCCGGGCGAGGGCTACGCTGCCCCGGACCCGCGCGCCGGGCTCTACCCGGGACCAGGACCGCGCGAGGACTACGCTCTGCCCGCGGGGCTGGAGGTGTCGGGGAAGCTGAGAGTGGCGCTCAACAACCACCTGTTGTGGTCCAAGTTTAATCAGCACCAGACGGAGATGATCATCACCAAGCAGGGACGGTGAGTGCGGCGCGCCGGCCTAGGGGCCTCCGTGCCCCCGCCCGGAACGAGAACGTCTCGTCTGTTTTTCCGGCTCGGACAGTGCTTCTGACTCCGTGACCCTCACAGCTTTGGCTTCAGCGTGAGGAGACAGGGGAGTGGGGTTGTAGTGAGGACAGGGAAAGCTCCAGAGGGGCGTCTGTGCCCAGGCTGTTTCACCGACAGCCAGAGGAATCGCGAGGGAGACGCTGAGTGAGGGGCAGTGAGAAGTCACCTTGGTTTAGGGGAAGTGGGAGAGGAGTCGCAGCGGGCAGCGAAAGCCTGAGTTCCGCGCGCGGACCGGACGCCGGACGCTTCGGCCTCCTGTGTGGGAAACTGGAGGGGAAGGGAGTCTCTTATCTCCGGGCTCCCTGCGCCCACCTCCCCCGGGCCCCTGGTGTGCTCAGGTCAGCTTTAGTGGTGGTGGTGGTGGTGGTGGTGATGGTGGTGGTGGTGGTGGTGTGTGTGTGTGTGTGTAGGGGGGCAGATTGGGATTTGGTGACATGGAGAAGCAGTCGCCAAATTTCCTTTCCGGTCTCACTTTGAGATCATATGTCTGGGGTGTGTGTGTGTGTGTGTGTGTGTATGGGGATGAGAGTGGCAGTAAAGCTTGTAGGGGGCACAGATCCCTTCCAGGCACAACTGCCGCGGGCCTGGGCAGATGAAGCTCACTCAAGGGTCCCGCCTGGTGGCCAGCCCCACACCACACCCTTTGAGGCTGGTGGTGAAAACTGTCCCACACTCCTGTCCAGATATTCACTGATTCCGCCTGCAGATGTGGGGAAGGGAAGTCCCATGGTTCCATGGCTCAGGGTCCCTGAGCCCTGTGCGTGATAGGGAGGTTTGGGGCTGAGGGTACCGCTTCCGGATAGAGCCTCCTGCACAAGAGAAGAAACAGAAAGCTGCGCCTTGTGTGGCATTTGTTTAGTAAGCAACCCCCGAGTGGGCCCTGTCTGATGTGGGCTGTGTGCACCCACCCTTCCAGTGGTGCCCATGTGGGCAGGGCACCAGCGAGGACCAGTGTGGAGGGGCTGTTGCCATTGATGGACCTAGGATGCTGGGTCTGAGGTCGGGGAGGTGTGGATACCAAATGTGGGCCTTGGGGTGGAGGGCAGAGGGAGAAGGCCATGTTGGGCCCCAGGGATTGGTATTGGATCTGGGCATTGCTGGAACATTCTTGCTCCAGATGATTTTTGTGGGGTGGCCTCGGACTGGGGAACCTGTTGCCAGCTACAACGGGCTTCAAGTTGCTGAGGTGTTCCATTTTCCCTCGGATGAACCCAGGGAAGTTGGCATGTTCTTTGATGGCTCATCCCTTCATCTCCTAAGCCTTCTGATAATTCTTCTCTGCTCCTCGCAACCCTAGTCACCCTTTGGGTATACCCAGACACCGCCCAGGCTTCTGGTCCCAATGTGTCTGAGTTGGAAGGGACCCAGAAGATCCTGTCCCTCTCACTGCATACACAGGGAAACAGGCCCAGAGACAGCAAGAGACTCTTCCCCAGTCACACAACACACCCACTGCAGGCAGAGCTGGCCCTAGAGCCCAGATGGTATCGCCTGGGTTTCTTTCTCTGGCCCCCTATGGCCACCGTAAAAACAGCCACCCACACTCTCCGAAGGCCCTGATGCATTCAGAGTGCTTTCACTTCCATTATTTCACTGTGCGTTAGGTAGGCCAAGCAGTCTCCCCATTTTACAGTTGAGGTCACTGAGTTGCAGGGACATAGTGGCTTGCCCTTCATCACACAGCAGACCAGCAGAACCTTCCACTCTGTTGTGTGGTCAGGAGGCCTTCCCACCCTGGGCCCTGGCCAGGGTCTCCCCACAGCCTCTGCCAGGCCTCTGCCTACCCCTGCCAGTCTTGAGGGATGGGGTGGATGGAGCATGGGGTAGATGGAGCATCACCCAGCATTTCAGGGAATTAGCCAGTGCTAGGGGGCTGCCTCTCTGCCAGTAGAGCCAGCTACAGGCAGAGAGCTCCCCAAAGCCAGCACTTCGGGGAGGCACTTGAGGGGACGGTTCTCGAAGTGTGTATCACCGTCTCTACTCACATGTCCTCCTTTCCTTAGTGCTTCTGCTGAGTAATTCTCACTTGACAAGTATTTTTGTCCTCCTTTTAGATCTGTATACATACTTTTTTTATTATGAAAGATTCCACTACATACAAACGTGGACAGAAGAATGTAACAGACTTCCATCACTCGGTTTGCACAATTGTCAATTAATGCAAGTCCAATCTTGTTTCTGCATCTTCACTTGGTCTCTTCTGTCTGCTACTGTATTAGTAATATAGTAATTACTAAGTACATTCTAGATATTATTTTACCTCTGCACTTCTAAAAATGGCTTTTAAATGAACACAATACTGTTAGCAAACCTGAAAAGAACTTCCTAAATATCACCAAGTTTCTCTGATTGCTTCATGAACGTGTGTGTGTGTTTTACAATCCTTACACTTTTTCTCCATCATGAGGGGCAACTTTGGGCAATGTGGAGTCCCTGTTGAAGTGAGCAGATGCTTTTTCTTGGATCAGGCCTCAGGGGTCCCATGCTGCCATGGAGGGGACAGAGGACACACCACCCCAATTCAGGCCCACTAGCTCCCCAATCACCTCTGTACCTTCTCAGCTTGGGCTCCTGAGATCTGGGAAGTCAGTGGCCATTTCCTCTCAAAACAGGCTTTTGGGCTCATAGCACGGCTTCCTTTCCGCCTTCCTGCTTTTGTGGGGTGGCCTGTCCCTCCGTGGGTTCCAGTGACCCACCAGTCACACCACATCACCCATGGCTTTCTTCCTTTTTGAAAAATTCTCCCCCGCCCCAGGCCCACCTACAACCCCTGGGCTTTTCGCCTGAGCTGACTCACACCGTCCCAGATCCTTCCTCTCCCACCCACCCTAGCTCTATCCCTGGGCATTGACCAGTGCCAGTGGCACGCTCTCCTCAATGAGCAGAAATGGGGCAGGGGACAGGGAGTGATTCCTAGGTCTGGAGATTGGTTAAGGCAACTCAAATGCGGCTGAGAGAGGGGATCTGAGAACAAAATGATGGATTGGCCCAATAGGAGACTTTGGTGTCTATGTTTGTGTCTTAGGAGTTTGGGGGTAGCCTGATAAATGCCCCACACAGGCTTGTGCGAGGGTTTCTGTGTGGCAGTGTGTGTGTGTGTGTGTGTGTGTGTGTGTTGTGAATGTGTTGGCCAGTATATAATAGTTGATGGTAGACATTCTTAGTAGAGGAAGAGAGAGGCCTATGTCTCTGTGGGTGTGTGGGTGTGTATTAATTGCTGGCAATCCCCACTTTGCTGGGTGTGATTGGTTGATTATTATAATTAAGATCACTTTGGGTAGCTGTGTTGTGTTAAGCTCAATTTGCATTTGGGTTTGTACATGTGAAGATAGGGGTTGGTAAAACAACAATTTCAGTCCTACAATATCCTTGCTACCCTCACAGTTAGGATTTTTTTCTTGTCCACATTCCCAACTCCAAGAACTTTAATTTTTTTTATTTATAAATTTTTTCATGGGCCAGAAATGGACCCGAACCCACATGGATAACTTTCGTCAAGAACTTTTTAGATCTTTTCTTTTTTTTTTTTTGAGATGGAGTTTTGCTTTTGTTACCCAGGCTGGAGTGCAATGGCGTGATCTCGGCTCACCGCAACCTCCACCTCCTGGGTTCAAGCAATTCTCTGCCTCAGCCTCCTGAGTAGCTGGGACTACAGGCGCGCGCCACCATGCCCAGCTAATTTTTGTATTTTTAGTAGAGACGGGGTTTCACCATGTTGACTAGGATAGTCTCGATCTCTTGATCTCCCACCTCAGCCTCCCAAAGTGCTGGGATTATAGGCGTGAGCCACTGCACCTGGCCATAGATCTTTTTTTTTTTTTGAGACGGAGTCTCACTCTGTCTTCCAAGCTGGAGTGCAGTGGCGCGATCTCGGCTCACTGCAACCTCTGCCTACCAGGGTCAAGCGATTCTCCTGCCTCAGCCTCCTCAATAGCTGGGATTACAGGTGCGAGCCACCACAATTGGCTAATTTTTGTATTTTTAGTAGAGATGAAGTTTCACTATGTTGGCCAGTCTGGTCCCAAACTCCTGACTTCAAGTGATCCCCTGCCTCAGCCTCCCAAAGTGCTGGGATTGCAGGCGTGAGCCATTGTGCCCAGCTAAAAAATTTTTTTTAGGCTTAAGCATGCTTAATTGGTTTTAGTTTTATTGGGGCAAGTGAAAACAACTTTATTATTATTTTTTTAATGAAACAGGGTCTTGCTCTGTCACCCATGCTGGAGGGCAGTGTGATTATGGCTCACTGCAGCCTTGACCTCCTGGGCTCAAGCAATCCTCCTGCCCCAGCCTCTTGAGAAGCTGGGACTACAGGTGCACACCACCATGTCCAGCTAATTTGTTCTATTTTTTGTAGAGATAGGGGTCTCCCTATGTTGCCCAGGCTGCAGCTTTGCTTTTTGTCTGGCTGTTTGCCAGTGACCGTCTGAGTCTATGAAGTGGATCTGAGGTTGGTGAGAGGAGAAAGTCCCTTGATGCTCGAGCACATTTTGCACTTTGGTAGATACAATACATTACCACCCTCCCAAAAGGTGGTACCAATTTACACCCCCATCAGTAGTCTACGAGAGGACCCATTTTCCCACAGCGTCATCAGCAGTAAACATTATCGATTTATTTATTTATTTTTTGGAGATGGAGCCTCGATCTGTCACCCAGGCTGAAGTGCAGTGGCACGATCTCGGCTCACTGCAACCTCCGCCTCCCGGGTTCAAGCGATTCTCCCACCTCAGCCTCCTGAGTAGCTCGGATTACAGGTGTGCACCATCACACCTGGCTAATTTTTGTATTTTTAGTAGAGATGAGGTTTCACCATGTTGGCCAGGCTCATCTCGAACTCCTGAGCTCAGGTGATCCACCTGCCTCGGCCTCCCAAAGGGCTGGGATTACAGGCATGAGCCACCACACCTGGACGATATTATCAATTTTTAAACATTTACCAATATGACTGAGAAGATCTATCTCCCTGTTATTTTAATTTGAACTTAATTACAGTGAAGCAGAGCCTGTGCCAGGAGCTCAGAATCTGAGCAGTATGATGACCCCGTGAACCATCCCAAGGCTACTTAGTTCTTAGGGCCAGCAGAGGAATGTGGGGTCTTGGACCCTGTCTTATGAGGGTGGGATGCCAAGTGGTTTTTTAGAGAGGCTCAATTTGGCACCAGACCCATCGCCACTCTCAGTTCCTTCCCAGCAAAGTGTCATGTAAATCAGGGGCTATTTTGGGATTCCAGCTGGTGGTGATTCTAGACTTTTAGGGAGAAACCGAGATCTCCCTTCTCTCCCTTTTCCCCAGCCTCTTCCTGTGTCTCCTCCCTTTCCCTCTACTAGTAATAAAAACAGGATGAGCTGGGCGTGGTGGTGAGTGCCTATAACCCCACTCAGGTGACTGGGGAGGCTAAGGCAGGAGGATTGCATTTGAGTTCAGCCTGGGCAGCATAGCAAGACTCCATCTCTCAAAAAAAAAAATCAGTATGGATCAGGCACAGTGGCTCACCCCTGTAATCCCAGCACTTTGGGAGGTCGAGGCAGGTGGGTCACCTGAGGTCAGGAGTTTGAGACCAACCTGGTCAACATGGGGAAATCCTGTCTCTACTAAAAATACAAAAATTAGCCAGGCACAGTGTTGGGCACCTATAATCCCAGCTACTCAGGAGGCTGAAGCAGGAGACTCGCTTGAACCCGGGAGGCAGAGGTTGTAGTGAGCCAAGATCATGCCACTGCACTCCAGCCTGGGGGACAGAGAAAGACTCTGTCTATAAAAAAAAAAAAAAAGAAAGAAAGAAAGAAAAAGATTCATATGAAGAAATGGAGACCACAGCATCAACTCGCAGTCAGAAGACCTCACCTCTGCCCTCCCACCAAGGACTGTCACCAAATCTCTTGGAGCATCAGTTTCTTCAAATATAAAATTGAAAATAACATTATATGTCTTAATAGACTGGTTTGATAAACTGGCTGGAGTATAAGTAGAGGCTTAATGAATATATTCCCTTTTGTTCCTTTATTCCTACAAGTTTGGATAGGAACTTGTTATGATATAGGAAACATTTGAGAACCCTCAACACCATCACAGATGGTGACAGAAACGGGTTGAAAATATTCTCCCATCCTCCATCGTCCAAGGCCTAGTCTCTGACCTTTGATTTCTCAAGTCAGTCATTGCACCGAGCCTCTGGAACTCAGGCCTGGCACCAGGGCTCTGACTCTTGCTCCTCCAGCCAGGCCAGAGGACTTTGACAGCTCTGGCTCTGGGAAAAGGTGGGATGGAGGTAGGACCTGAGGAAGGAAGAGCTAAGTTTCACATCTTTCAAACTTCTTTCTTTCTTTTTTTTGAGATGCAGTCTTGCTCCGTCGCCTAGACTGGAGTGCAGTGGCTCCATCTCAGCTCACTGCAACCTCCGCCTCCCGTATTCAAGTGATTCTCTTGCCTCAGACTCCCGAGTAGCTGGGACTACAGGTGCATGTCTGGCTAATTTTTTGTGTTTTAGTAGAGGTGGGATTTCACCGTTTGCCCAGGCTGGTCTCAAACTCCTGAGCTCAGGCAATCCACCCACCTCGGCCTCCCAAAGAGCTAGGATTACAGGTGTTAGCCAGCCATCTTTCAAACTTTTTAAGAGCTTTCAGAGGAAAGATGGACATAAGTCAGACTCTCCATTTACATGTGAAGAAACTGAGGAAGTTTCTTCCTACCCATGGGGCTGGGAGTGCCAGGTGTGGTGGCTCATGCCTGTAATCCCAGCACTTTGGAAAGCTGAGGCAGGTGCATCACTTGAGGTCAGGAGTTCAAGACCAGCCTGGCCAACATGGTGAAACTCTGTCTCTACTAAAAATACAAAAAGTAGCCAGCTGTGGTGGCACGTGCCTGGAGTCCTAGCTCTTGGGAGGCAGAGGCAGGAGAATCTCTTGAACCTGGAAGGCGGAGGTTGCAGTGAGCTGAGATTGTGCCACTGCACTCCAGCCTGGATGACAGAGCAAAACTCCATTTCAAGAAGAAACTGAGATTTGGTTTGAGAATTAACTCATCCAGGGTCATAGGGTAGTAATTTCTTTTTCGCAACTCAAGAGCGTCGGGGAAGACAAGTGTGGGACAGCACCCCTCTAGGACACCTTCCCAAGGTTGTTAGGGAAGTTGTCCTGGGGACCTCTGGGGATGAGAAATCCCTCAAAAAGAGTTCCTGGGCCCCTGGAACTCTTCCTCCTCCAGGTTTCCTGACTCATTGATAGGTCCCCTTTCTCCTCTTCTTCAGGGCTTCTCATGAGAGGAGGGGAAGTGTGTGGAAATAAAAAGTAATTCTGATGAGGATTGGCTTCTGCCATTCTGAAAACTCTGCTCTTTCTGCTTGGGTTAGAAGAGAAAGTCTAATCCATTGGAGCTGGTGATGGAACAGGTGCTGGTGGAGGTGCTAGTTGTGATGGGGAAGGTGGTGGCTGTAGATGGTGCTGGTGGAGATCGTGGTTATCGTGGTGGTGGTGGTTGTGATGGTAGGGGGACAGTTATAGTGACGGTGGTCGTGATGGTGGTGATGGGTGGTTAAAGTACTGCTGGTGCTGATGGCACTGGTTGTAGTGATGGTGGTGATGTGGGTAGTGATGGTGTTAGTGGTGGGGATAGTAGGGACGGTGTTAGTGGTGGGGATAGTAGGAGAGTGCTTCTTTTCTGAGTCTGTTACTCTGGCACGATGAACTCACACAGCATCCCACCCCCTAACTTCCTCTACTTTTCCTGGAAACCAGGACTTTGAGCATGAGCCCCGTGTTCAAGAAAGTCTTCTTTTAGGTGGGTGGGAAGCTCCCTGTTCAACTAGGATATGTGCAACTTCTCTGAAGGCTGAGGGTACGCCACACCGCAGACGGCAGGCCCAGGAACATGGGAGAGGGAGTCTGTGAGTGGGTGCCATGGGGCTGGGAGTGCATTAGCTTTGTGAGAGCCATGGCAGGGAGGGTGGGTGGGAAACTGAGGTGTGAGGACCTACCAGGAACTGCCTGTGGAGAGCTGGCTGGTGCCCCGTTCTGGGAAGCGGCTAAGGTTGGGACAGGGGTGTGCAGGTAGATGTCGAGCAACTGACCCTCCGAAAGAACATGTTAGAAAGCTCTGATGTGTAGTCTTTGCTGATCCCTGTGGGATAAATACTCCTGTTATGGATTATTTCAAGCAACCGATGACAGTTGTGCTGCAAAGAGACGCACAGTGTGCTGCGATCTAGTACCTTCTCCATGCAGCTGCGATAGCCGGAAGGAACCTCAACAGCACAGACGATAGTAAAACGTGGTGAAATAACTGGGCACTGATGATTTTAGAGTTTTTATTACTTTGATTTTTTTTTTTTTTTTTTTTTGAGATGGAGTCTTGCTCTTGTTGCCCGGGCTGGAGTTCAATGGCGTGATCTCAGCTCACGGCAACCTCCACCTCCCAGGTTAAAGCAATTCTCCTGCTTCAGCCTCCTGAGTAGCTGGGATTACAGCCACCATGCCCAGCTAATTTTTTTTTTTTTGTACTTTTTAGTAGAGATGGAATTTTGCCATGTTGCCAGGCTGGTCTTGAACTCCTGATCTCAAGTGATCCACATGCCTTCATCTCCCAAAGTGCTGGGATTACAGGTGTGAGCCACTGTGCCTGTATATTGTTAATATAATGCCTTGAATTGCAAGTTTATGTAATTTAATTTTTAATTATGGCTGTGTTTAACCACTGGCTGGCAAACTCCCAAAACACCTTCCCGCTGGTTCTTGTGAGTGGGAGGAAGCTGGCTACAGCGCACCACTGATGCCTGGGCACTGTTGCAGGGACTGGCTGTGGAGCTGGGGCTGATGGTGCTGGTGGGGGGTCTCTCTCTTCTCTCCAGGCGGATGTTCCCATTCCTGTCATTTACCGTGGCTGGGCTGGAGCCCACGAGCCAATACAGGATGTTTGTGGATGTGGTCTTGGTGGACCAGCACCACTGGCGGTACCAGAGCGGCAAGTGGGTGCAGTGTGGAAAGGCCGAGGGCAGCATGCCAGGTGCGCGCACCCCTGGGAGCTGTGGGCTCTGTTTCTCTGGGACTGGGCGCCCCCTGGTGGGTCCCCAAGCCCCTTCCCCCCAATGCCCAGATTTTAAATCCCCCTTCCACTCCCTCCCACCTCTGGCTTTCTGCTTTGCTCTAGTCTGTCCTCTGAGTCCTCTGCCCTTCCCTGCCTGGTCCTCCCCTTGTGCCCTTCCTCACGTCCCTCTCGGGACAGGCAAAGGCCCAAATCACCAGGGTTCTGTCCTGGGGGCTGCATGTCAAAGAGGTGAACTGTCCACAGGAAACCGCCTGTACGTCCACCCAGATTCCCCCAACACGGGAGCACACTGGATGCGCCAGGAAGTTTCATTTGGGAAACTAAAGCTCACAAACAACAAGGGGGCATCCAACAACGTGACCCAGGTAGGACCTGCTCTTCAAAAGGTAGCCTCACCACCCCCCACCCCGTCCCACCCTGGGTCTGAGACCTCCAAGGCCACAAGGGTCCTGTGGGACCAGTGTGGTTCATTTTTCTTCCTTCCTAAACCCTGGCTGTTTCTCACCCACCATGGGAGGAAAATGAGATGGGATGAAGCTGAATCTTGGACAGGGGTCACATTCAGGCCACAAATGCCAACCCAGACTCAGGGTTTCTTCACCAAATTTCGGGTTGCCATTGCTCCAGCACCATGGAAGGCACAGAGTTGGCGCCGTGGTCCCAGGGAATAGATGCCGAGTTTCTCTAGGTTGAACAGTCCTGTTAAAAGTGCCTTTGCTGGCCAGGTGGGGTGGCTCACGCTGGATATCCCCGCACTTTGGGAGGCTGAGGTGGGTGGATCACGAGGGCAGGAGTTCAAGACCAGCCTGGCTAAGATGGTGAAACCCCATCTCTACTGAAAATACAAAAATTAGCCAGGTATGGTAGTGGGCACCTGTAATCCCAGCTACTCTGGAGGCTGAAGCAGGAGAATTGCTTGAACCTGGGAGGCAGAGGTTGCAGTGAGCTGAGATTGCACCACTGCACTCCAGCCTGGTTAACAGAGCAAGACTCTGTCTCAAAAAAAAGAAAAATGCCTTTGCTCTAAAAGCCCTGTTTATGCTGATACCTTGCTCCTGATGGACATCTGGGGTAGAAGAGGGGGCAAGAGGCTAGAGTTGGTGCCCCAAAGAGTCCAGACCCTGGAGTTGGAAAGCTTGGGGGAAGTTACATGGCATCAGGGCAAGGGAATGGACAGGACCTCAGGGCGCTTGCTAGCCTCACGTGGGGCCAGCTGTTGGTGGGGGTGAGGGGATCCTCAAAGTCCCTCCTCCCCACCCCTTTGACCATCTTGCTCTGTCTGCAGATGATTGTGCTCCAGTCCCTCCATAAGTACCAGCCCCGGCTGCACATTGTTGAGGTGAACGACGGAGAACCTGAGGCAGCCTGCAATGCTTCCAACACCCATATCTTTACTTTCCAAGAAACCCAGTTCATTGCCGTGACGGCCTACCAGAATGCCGAGGTGAGGGCCGCCTGAGCCCCGGTGGGGAGGAGGGGAGAGTGGGGCCCCCTGTCTCCCTAGGGGGGGATTTGGGGAGTTCCTGAGCCCCAGTCTCAGGACTCAGGTAACTCTATTCCCTTCTCTCTAGATTACTCAGCTGAAAATTGATAATAACCCCTTTGCCAAAGGATTCCGGGAGAACTTTGAGTCGTAAGTGCCACTGGGTTCAACTCAGCTTTGGTCCATCCTGAGACATGTTCTCTCCCTGCCCCTAACAGCAGGAGAGTTGGGGGCAGGTGCTAGAGGTGGGCAGGCCAGGGAAGGCGGGTCAGGGAAGGGACACGTGAAACAGGTGGGCACACAGGTGACTGGCTCTGCTTGTGACCCATTTTCTTGCCTTTTTTTTTCTAGCATGTATACATCTGTTGATACCAGCATCCCCTCCCCGCCTGGACCCAACTGTCAATTCCTTGGGGGAGACCACTACTCTCCTCTCCTACCCAACCAGTATCCTGTTCCCAGCCGTTTCTACCCTGACCTTCCTGGCCAGGCGAAGGATGTGGTTCCCCAGCCTTACTGGCTGGGGGCCCCCCGGGACCACAGCTATGAGGCTGAGTTTCGAGCAGTCAGCATGAAGCCCGCATTCCTGCCCTCTGCCCCTGGGCCCACCATGCCCTACTACCGAGGCCAGGAGGTCCTGGCACCTGGAGCTGGCTGGCCTGTGGCCCCCCAGTACCCTCCCAAGATGGGCCCAGCCAACTGGTTCCGCCCCATGCGGACTCTGCCCATGGAACCTGGCTCTGGAGGCTCAGAGGGGTGGGGACCAGAAGACCAGGGTCCCCCCTCGGTGTGGACTGAAATTGCCCCCATCCGGCCGGAATCCAGTGATTCAGGACTGGGCGAAGGAGACTCTAAGAGGAGGCGTGTGTCCCCCTATCCTTCCAGTGGTGACAGCTCCTCCCCTGCTGGGGCCCCTTCTCCTTTTGATAAGGAAGCTGACAGCCAGTATTATAACTATTTTCCCAACTGAGCAGATGACATGGTGAAGGAAACAGTGTTATTAGGCTGGAGGACGCCAAGTAATTTAGGAACAGATGAAGGACTGAGAAGCCCCACACTCCCTCTGACCCTTCTCTGTATAGTAGTTGGCTGGGGAGGTGGGACTCAAGAAGGATATTGGGGTTCACTGGCTGCTTCCTGGCCCACGATGAAACCTGAGAGGGGTGTCCCCTGCCCCTTCCTCTGCCCTAACTACAGTCGTTTACCTGGTGCTGCTTCTTGCTTCTGGTTTTCAGCTAGAGAAAAGAAGACTAGAAAGTCTTGGACATGAAGGAGCTTTTTGCTTCTGGTGGGGTGGGAAGGGTCAGGTGTGGGACATGGGTTCAGGAGACTCCACTTTCTTCCTTTGTACAGTAACTTTCAACCTTGTTGTCGGCGTGTGTGTTAATCCCTGATCCGAAAAGAACAAATACATGTGTTTTATAACCATCAGCCAGCCAGGATCAGGGAGAGGACTCAGGTGACTTTGGGCAGCTGGCTGGGCTCCCCCCTGCTCAAACATAGTGGGGAGTGGAGGAAGGGGCTGGAAAGGGGGGATGGCAAAGATTGTTTGTGGTGGTTTTGTGTGTGTGAGTGTGTGTGTGTGAGTGTGTGTGTGTACTTTTTCTTTCTTTTTTTTTGAATGGGGGAGGCTATTTATTGTATGGAGAGTGGTGTCTGGATATATTTCTTTTGTCTTCATCACTTTCTGAAAATAAACATAAAACTGTTGGATGTGCCTGCCTCAGTGCCAGCATGGGAGGACATGGATGGGGACTCGATTGGGGGTTGTACCCCAAGGTGTTTGTTGGCTTTCATTTCTGGGGTACCTGCTAAAACCCTGAAGTGATTCCAGCTGAGTTAGAGCAAGGCCACATGTCCTGGCTTCAGCACTCAGGGGGATGGTTGATGCTCCTTCTTAAGGCATCTTGGAACAGAGAAGCATTCCTTGGGCTGTGTGTGCCCTGAGGTTGGACGGGGAGGGCGGTGTGAGGGCAAGGCTGGGAGCAGGGGCGGGGTGCTGTGAGGGGGTGGCACTTGATTTCTCTTTGCATTTCTAGCAGCCCTCCACCTTTATCTCTAGGGTTATTCAAGGATTAAAGAAATAAATATAAAATGAACCATGTGAAATTATCACTTTTGTAAGTCAAAAAGCCAAATATTAGCTATTTTATGTCACTCAAGCTAATACATGTAAAGAGTTTAAGAACAGTGCAGGAAAGGCCAGACGTGGTAGCTCACGCCTGTAATCCCAGCACTTTGGGAGGCCGAAGTGGGTGGATCATCTGAGGTCAGGAGTTCAAGACCAGCCTGGCCAACATGGCAAAACACTGTCTCTACTAAAAAAAATACAAAAATTAGCCGGGTGTGGTGGTGGCCACCTGTAACCTGTAATCCCATCTACTCAGGAGGCTGAGGCAGGAGAATCACTTGAACATGGGAGGTGGAGGTTGCAGTGAGCCGAGATTGTGCCATTGCACTCAAGCCTTGGCAACAAGAGAAAGACTCAGCCTCAAAAAAAAAAAAAAAAAAAAAAAAAAAAAATCAGAACAGTGCCTGACAAACAGTAAGCACTCACTGTGTAAGCTATTGTTACTAACAGTTTTAGCTGTTTCTGTCTCTGTCTCTTTATACACACTGAACTGTATTTGTAAAACGATACACGCTTTTTATTTTTTGAGACAGAGTTTCCCTCTTGTGGTCCGGCTAGAGTGCAATGGCGTGATCTCAGCTCACTGCAACCTCCCCGTCTAGGTTCAAGCTATTCTCCTGCCTCAGCCTCCTGAGTAGTTGGGATTACAGACATGTACGGCCATGCCCAGCTAATTTTTGTATTTTTAGTAGAGATAGGGCTTCACCATATTGGCCAGGCTAGTCTCAAACTCCTGACTTCAGGTGATCCACCTGCCTTGGCATCCCAAAGTGCTGGGATTGCAGGTGTGAGCCACCACACCCAGCCAATTCATGCTTTTTTTTTTTTTTTTAAAGAATTCAAGCAATGAAGAAAAGTATTAAGACAACAATAAATTATCTCAAATCTTACCCATTAAGAAGTATTATTAACATTAGATGGGTTAGACAGAAATATTTTATAAAACTGGAGCCATACTGAAAATGCTTTTTCTTTCTTTCTTTTCTTTTCTTCTTCTTCTTTTTTTTTTTTTTTTTGAGACTAAGTCTTGCTCTGTCGCCCAGGCTGGAGTAGTAGAGACAGGGTTTCACCATCTTGGCCAGGCTGGTCTTGAATTCCTGACCTCATGATCCACCTGCCTCAGCCTCCCAAAGTGCTGGGATTACAGGTGTGAGCCACTGCGCCCACCTCTTCATATGCTTTCTAATCAGAGGTTTGTAAAATGATTTGTTCATATCTTTTGCTCATATTGCTATTAGGGTATTTGTCTTTTTCTCCTTGATTCTGGTTCTTTATATATTCTCGACTTGATATCAACCATTATTTGGTTATTTATATTCCAATTGTCTTCCTCTAGATTATTGTTTCTCTTATAATTTTCTTTAAAGTGGTTTTCTGATAAACAAAAATTTGTAGTTTTAATGTAGTTAAATTTAACAATTTTTTTTTTTAAAGAGACAGGGTCTTATTCTGTCACCCAGGCTAGAGTGCAGTGGTTTCGTTATAGTTCACTGCACCTACAAACTCCTGGCCTCAAGTGATCCTTCCACCTCAGCCTCCCCAGCAGCTAGGACTACAGGCATATGCCACCATGCCTGGCTAATTTAAAATTTTTTTTGTAGAGATGAGGTTTCACTATGTCACCTGGTCTTGAACTCCTAACCTCAAGTGATCCTCCCTCCTTGACCTCTCAAAGTGTTGGTATTATAGGCATGAGCCACCACACCTGGCCAACATTTTATAGTTAGTACTTTTTCTGGTCTCATTTAAGAAAACTTTTTCTTATTGAAGGTCAGAAAGATATTTATTCATCTGTATTTTTTTTCCATATAATTTGAAATTTTGCTTTCACATTTAATTCCTTTTAGCATATGGTATGGGAGAAGGATTCATTTTGTTTTTGTTTTCCATTTTTCCTGTTTGTTTTTGTTGAATAGTCTTTCTTTTTTTTTTTTTTTTTTTTTTTTTTTTTTTTTTTTTTACTTTTTTCTTTTAGAGACGAGGTCTTGCTATGTTTCCCAGGCTGGAGTGCAGTGGCTAGTCACAGGCGAGATCCCACTACTGATCAGCACAGGAGTTTTGACCTGCTCCATTTCTGATCTGGGTCGGTTCACCCCTCCTTAGGCAACCTGGTGGTCCCCCGCTCCCTGGAGGTCACCATATTGATGCCAAACTTAGTGTGGACACCTGATCAGCATAGTGCACTACAGCCCAGATCTCCTGGGCTCAAGCCATCCTCCAGCATCAGCCTCCTGAGTAGCTGGGACTACAGGCACGCGCCACTGCGCCTGACGAATAGTATTTTCTTTCTTTCTTTTGGAGACGGAGTCTGGCTCTGTCTCCCAGGCTGGAGCAATTTTGGCTCATTGCAATCTCTGCCTCCTGGGTTCAAGCAATTCTCCTGCCTCAGCCTCCCAAGTAGCTGGGAGTACAGGCGCATGCCACCATGCCTGGCTAATTTTTTGTATTTTAGTAGAGACAGGGATTCACCATGTTGCCCATAGCTGGTCTCAAACTCCTGAGTTCAGGCAGTCCACCTACCTCAGCCTCCCAAAGTGCTAGGATTACAGGCGTGAGCTACCGTGCCTGGCTGTTGAATAGTCTTTTTTGCCCATGGTCTTAGTCTCACATAGTACTTCTGGTAAGCAAAGTCCTCTTTTTGAAATTTCTTCTTCTGAAGTGCCTTGACTATGCCTAGCTCTTTACCCTTCTATATGCAATATATAATAACTTTGAAATTTTCATGACAACCTGATTAAGATTTTTACTGAGGTTGGACTAAATCTATTGTTCAATTTGGGAGAAGAGATAACTCTGTGATATTGTCTTTCTATACATAAACATGGGATATTTCTTCATTTATTTAGGTCATCTTTGGCACTCTTTTGTAAAATTTTCCAATTTGTAGGTGTTGGTCTGTTATATCTTTTGTTAACTTTAGTCTTGGATATTTATTTTTCTTCTCTGTAAAAAGCATCTTTTAAAATATATGTTTCCCCGAGAGTGTGTGTGTGTGGTTTAAAAAATATATATATATATTTCCTAGTTGTTACTGGTTTGCAGAATTACAATCGATTTTTGTATATTGATAATGAGATCAGCCACATTGCTAAACTCTCTTATTATTTTTGGGGGATTTCATATAAATTCTTTAGAGCTCTCTCTGTGGCAAATGATATTATTTCAAAAAATGAGAGTTTTATTTCCTTTTTTTAAATCGTTATGCTTCTAATTTAGTTTCCTTGTCTTATTGCACTGGCCAGAACCTCAAGTGCTGGTTTCTTGTCTTTTGGGGGATGATTTCACCACCCTTTTTTGGCCCCACCTCTGATGGGGTCTCACTCTGTCACTCTGGTTAGAGTGCAGTGGTGTGATCATAGGTCACTGCAGCATTGAACTTCTGGGCTCAAGTGATCGTCCTGCCTCAGCCTCCCCAGTAGCTAGGAGTACAGATGTGCACACTATGACGCCTAGTTAATTAATTTTTTTTTTTTTTTGTAGAAACAGGGCCTAGTTGTATTGCCCAGGCTATTCTTGAACTCCTGGCCTCAAGTGATCCTCCTGGCCTCCCAAAGCACTGGGATTAAAAGAGTGAGTTGCCATATTCAGCTCAGTTTCCTCCTATTTATTATGCTTATTTGCAATTCTATAATTTATTTATTTTAGTGGTTTATCTATGCATTTTAATAAGTTTTTTTTTTTTTTTTTTGAGACAGAGTTTCGCTCTTGTTACCCAGGCTGGAGTGCAATGGCATGATCTCGGCTCACCCGCAACCTCCGCCTCCTGGGTTCAGGCAATTCTCCTGCCTCAGCCTCCTGAGTAGCTGAGATTACAGGCATGTGCCACCGTGCCCAGCGAATTTTTTGTATTTTTAGTAGAGACGGGGTTTCACCATGTTGACCAGGATGGTCTTGATCTCTTGACATCGTGATCCACCCGCCTCGGCCCCCCAAAGTGCTGGGATTACAGGCGTGAGCCACTGCGCCCGGCCTTTTAATAAGTATTTTTAAAAATGAATGATTTTTTCCTCCCTTCTGGACAGTAAAATAATTTTAGATCACTTTAGTTCTGATCTTCCTCCTTCTGACTTACTAATAAAAACTTACTTCCTTCTTCTGACTTATTGATAACTCCTGTATTATCATTTTAGTAGTCATTCTAATAACCTGTTTTCCATTCGTGTTTTTATCCTATCAACTTACTCATTTCAGTTCTTTCCTTTTTTTTTTTTTTTTAAATTTTTTTTTGGGGGGGAGGAAGGCAGGAAGGAAGGGAAGAAGGACGGTAGGGAGGAAGGAAGGGATGAAGGAAGGAAGGAAGGGAGGAAGCGGGAAGGGAGGGAGGGAGGGAGGGAAGGGAAGAAAGGAAATCAAGCAATGAAAGAGACATTGCCGACCCGGATCTAGAGGTTTACAAGTTGATTTCTTTTTTTTTTGAGAGAAGGAAAGAAAAAAATAATAATAAGTAAAGGAGAGGAAGAAAGAGGAGAGAAAGAGGGAGAGTAAATGGAAATATTGCTTTATTTTGAAAAAAATTGGGTATCAATAATGGCCAATCAATGTTTCATTTAAACTAATGGGTAGGTGTGATGTGGTATTGACA